ATGCTAGCTTCAAATCAATTGAAATGTAATTAGAATTCTACATATTAGGGTGGGTTTTAATATTCGGGGGGAAAGGATTTATTAATATTTAATTGCAAATATATCCCAAGCCTTAGGCCAGAGGGCTTAGCGCGTAGTGTTGAGGGTTTATGGGTTCCTCTGGAATTCCCTCCAAACAAGTTTTCCCGTACTTACTTGGGACCCCGGATTATTCAGACCCCTCTACTTGTTGAGGGGGGGGGCTTTATAATCAGAATCCCCCATTACTATATTGGGGAAAGCCTATTATTTACTATATGAATACCCATTATGGTAACTTAATTTAAGTTCCTTAACAGCAACCCAGGAATCTCCTTCCCCCCTTTCCACCACGAAAGATGCTTTGCGCAAGCAGTTTCGCATGGCTGAAGCGCTACCACCTGGAAAGGGATGCCTGCTAGATGGCCTGATGGCAACAGCCTCAACGTGCTCGACACCATCCATCCCGTCAACACCTGAGGCTTGGCCCATGAGTCCAAAACCCTAAATAGTAGTTTCCCTAAAGGGGACCCCAATATATAGACCCCCAATAAGGTACCCCTAATTTTGGGAAACACCCAAATAACCTAGTAGTTTGCATCTTCTTTTCCACTATTCCTTAGACTTTGGATCCCGAGGCCTCAGTACCACCTGCGCCGGTGCGAACCCCGAGCCCACGAGCCAGGTGCTGCTTCAGCTTCTGATTCATCCCCTCCCCCTAACATTTACCCCCCCCCCTTACTTAATAGTGAAGGGGTTTAGGGCTTAGGGTTTCCCAACATATCACAATAACATACCGCAGTGGGAGTATTCAATATTAGGGGGTGGTGGGGGGTGGCTTTCATGTGAGGGGGAAGGGATTAGTGCTGCGCCTGAAGCACTGGGGCAGGTTGGACCTTGGAAAATCCTAAGCTCTGACGAAGAAAGATACTACCCTCTTAAGCCTCTCAATATCCTACCCCCCCCTTAGAAGCTTACATAATACTCACTATATAGGAATTATTGAGTTATTATACATGACATTACTGTTTAGCAATATATTCTCCTATAATCATTATGATAATGATACGACATACGTGAAACTATTGTGTCGCAATATTGTGAAGACACCTGTATCCCTCCGCGAGGCGTCTCCGAGAGCCTCTTCTCGGTATCTCGGTGCTTCTTGGCTGCTGTTACGGTTTTGGGTTTAGGGTTTAGGGCTTGCTGGTGTAGGTTCGAAAATAAGTGTTGCTTGCTATTTCCCTGCCCCATTACAAGAAAACTCCTACTGTTTCAAGATGCGAGTTGTGGTGACTTATCCCCCTAAACCCCTATAACCCTAAACCCCTATAACCCTAAACCCTTGTAAACTCCTGCAAAAGGGAACCCGGTATGGAAACCTACTTGAAATTCCCTCGCCTCAAGGCTCACAGTTGCCCAAAATGCCTTTCATAGTATAGTCTTTGGGCCCAAAAGCCTGAAAATCTGAGTGTTTAGGGTTTAGGGCAGTATTTTTTAAGGTATAGGGTTTACTGCATTAGTTTTTAGGGTTTTGGGTTTAGGGGGCACCTAAACCCCTGAACTCCAACCCAGGATTTGGACACGACGATCTGAGCGGCGCCGGGGCCTGGCAAAGGCTTTGGTGGACTGCTTGGGGCCCAAGACCGGCTGGTTCTTTGTAGGGAGTAGGGTTCAGGGTTGAGGGATTAGAGTTTCAGGATTAGGGCTTAGGATTTTAGGATGAAGGTAGTTCAAAGAAATAGTACACCAACACGTTATCAGTATTGCTAGTATCATTTGGGGTTGAGGTTTGTCAGTAGGGAAGGAGGGGATGGAATATGGTGACTATATGAGTAGTATTCTTGGGGGGATACTATGGTACCCAATCTAGAGTAAGATTATATCCTCCTTTTGGGGTATAGTATTTTATATAAGAAATATAATCTTACTAGGTTCAACCACGAAAAAACGCTACTCATATGAAGACTAGTAGACGGATCCATTGTCCAATCCTTACTAACCACTTGTAAGAAGAGCACAGGAAGCGTGTTGGCGCCTGTTCTTGCGCGCAGGTCGAACTCCAAAGTTATCCCCATGTATCCCCATGTGTATAATATAGATATACATATATCTATATGTGCGCACACATACATCTACATGAATATGTATTGTCGTTGCATATCCGCATTTCCGAGGCCCCATATCTCCTTATGTATGCCTATATATACCTAGACCGTTGTATATCCCCATATTCCCCAAACCCTAAGCTCTATACCCCCAAACCTCCAAACCCCTAACCCCTAAAACCCCTATACCCCCAAACCCCTTAACCCCAAACCAGTTCCAGGTGCTCGGCAATTGCTGGCTCCCAACAGGCGCGTGGCCTTCTCACAGCCAACAGAGCTCGGCCGAACTTTTGCTGAGCACTACATCCAAAGGCTGGGTTGCTGTGGTTTAGGGGTTAGGGTTTAGGGATTAGGGTTGAGGGTTTGGGGTTTAGGCTTTGAACTCAAATTAATTTGCCCTAATATGGGTACAGAGGGTTTCGGGTTTAGGGGTTAAAGTCACCATGATGTGGATATGTAGTAAAACATAGGGTTTCCTGAGTTTCATCATTGAATGTAAATTTCTTAGCAGCGGCCCAGGAGGACCTTGCTATGGGGAAATTCTAGGATATGTGGGGACATAGACGGAAATATTGGTGTGTATATATATATATACTTATTTATACGTGTATATGAGGTGTTTCTATGACAAGTACATTGTAGTCCTTATATACCTATAGAGGGAGATATGAAAATTAAAAAGCTGAAGCGGACTTTGCCATGTCTGCAGGACAAAGGACCTGAAGGAGAACAGCGAAGTGTTGATTTACGGAGCCTGAGTGCCCAGCTGAAGGACTGTCGATGAGTTCAGATCCTAAACCCTTGACCTTAACCCTAAACCCTATGATATAATTTTAAGGTTTAGGGTTTCGGGTACTATGGTAGTTTCCAGAAATAGGTGATCTCAACATAGGCCCCAAATACTATAATCCCTATGGTTGGGAACTTCAAACTGGTACCCCTACTTTTCGGAAACCCGCTTACATCCCCATAGTGTCCCGAATTTTGGGAGAGCCCGGAGGGCTTGCCGTGAAAGCTTAGGTGTGTGTGTGTGTGTGTTTTAGTCAGGGATCCGCAGGGCAGATTCGTTTCCGAATCGGGCTCGCTGAGCCAGAAGGTTCGCATACATGCAACATACAAAGGGTTATAGAATGGAATATAGGGGTATATGGCAAGTGACATGCTACAGGGGTATATAGCGATATATAGGAGTATATGGGAATAATGGAAAATCAAATGGAAGAAAAAGACATGGAGATTGGGATGATGTAGGGGTCTATAGGGTGTAGATGAGCTGCTTATTAGGCTTATCAAGGAACTCTTGCCAGTGGACATAGGGGTCCCTCTTGTGCTTCAGTATAGTCCTCATATAGTCCCGATTCCGGAACCCATGTCCATTTCTTATCTGGAAAATATTGCCTGTAGCACATACGGGCTATATTGGCTTATATAGGGTTGTATAATGGAGAACCACACGGACAAGAGAAGTGAAAATGAAATTGAAACTGAGGTTATTTAGTAGCTTATGGGGTTTAAGGGCTAGGTAGGCGAAATCCAAATTATATCTAGTTAATATCCTATAGCCTCTGATAGCAACTTTTTTAGATAACATGTTGCGGTAATGTGCCGTCAAGCAAGGCATTGAGTGGTCTTTTTCAATGCTGCAGGCAGCGAACACCCTGGCGAGACTATGCTGGGTTGCTGTTCCTTGGGGGCGTTCAGGTGGGCTTGCTAAGTAGGTCAGTAAGGGGATAACTAGGGTTACTATATGGATTATAGGCAGTATTAACCTACTTACCAAGTCCCCATGACCCCAAACCCCAAACCCTAAATACTATACATTTTCTTTTCCATTATTGGCATCTTAACCTGCTTACTAAGTCCCCCTGACCCTCCAAGGAAGGACCCTCAAACTCAATAACCAGAATCGGTTCCCTGTAAAGCGGTTATGTACACAGTTTACGGTTTAGGGTAGGGTTACGTCACCACAACATGGATACATGAAAGATGAAACAGCTTCCTTACGATTATCATAAAATGGATATTGTGTATGTATGTGTATAAAGATATATGAAAATGTATGTGGTACAGAATTGTGTTGCCCCATATCCCCGTCATTCCCATAATATGCATCTTGAATATATGTATATATATATACACACTATTGAATAACCGGCTTCCCCCATGAATAGCTTAACTGAAGTTCCTGGACAGCAGCCCAGCATGGGGGATGTGTGGGTAGCACAGGCACTTGCGAAGCGACAGCGCAGACCAAGAGCCCTAGGATCTGGTTTCGGGGTTCAGGGCTTAGGGTTTAGGGTTCAGGGCTTAGGGTTTATGGTTTGGGGGCTTACGAGTTTAGGGGTGTACGGGTTAAGGGGTTTGGGGTTTAGGGTTTAGGGCCTGAGCTGCTGTCAATATTATATAGGGATTGTGTAGGTATTATCTTCCCTTGTTCGCTAGGAATTGAGAACCAAATGGAAAAGAAAATGAAAAATGAAATGGAAACTGGGATTATGTAAGGGCTTACAGCCATAGAGCTAGAGAGAGGGGTATATAGGGATATGTAGGGTTGCATTGCCTTCTGGTGGGGCCTACATAATCCCAGTTTCCGCTTCATGTGCCACTTTCTTTACAATTGCATTCTCCATTCCTAGGGAATAAGGGAGTACAATCCACATGTAGTTCCTATATTATGATAAATGGGTTGATGTGTTTCCCAAATCGGGAGTCATTTAACATATACCCGATTTACTATAGTAGCTTCCATTTTCTTTTCCATTATCCCTATAGCTTCCCTAATGTATATACTCTCTGAAGTCTCTGCTGTTGCTCTGATGCTTGACATCCTGGTGTCTCAGTGCGCGAACTTTGCGAAGGGGAGCAGGCAAAGTACTCGCGAAAAACAGGTTGGAGAGTGTGAGTGCAGGTAGGACACACTTGATGTGTTGTGTAGGTGCATAAATTAACAACCCAGATGGAGATCAAGATGCCACCTTCTGAAGCTGCTGCAAATTTGGTCTTGTTCAGTATGCTCTTGGAATTGGAGCCTGCGCGGCCAGTGATTTTGGCTCTTGGGAGAGCCCAGCAGACACAACTCCACAACTCGGACTGGAGCAGCCGCAATTTCACAGCAGTCTATGGAACGCTGAACCAAAAACCCTCCAAAGGATCATCCGCGAGAATTAACACAGCCTTAGTTCAAATGCTCCCAAGCTAGGAAGGTTTGCGCCATAGCGCATGGCGGACTTTGATGCTGGCAGCTCAGATGAGCCGCAATCTCCTTAAAGGCAGTGATATAAGGGATTATATAGGGGAGTACTATGGGGGATAATCAGTGGGATACTTGAAGTTGAAAACTATGGCTCAGATGCGTCGAAGCTTCATCTGCGTGTTTAGACTGCAGTCATCCTTCGGTAAATCTCTGGGATAAGTAAGGATTTTCCCTTTGGGGCTTACGGGACCCTGTATACTAATATTTTCAAAGGGCTCCAAGGGCCAACCAAGATCCTACAGTGGAGAAGATCTACATCTTGGGATATCATGCATTCAGTCCCCGCATCCGTGGCATACTTAAGCTGAGGAGTTCCCCTCCTGGTTCTTGCTACAGCGCAATAGATGTCAAATTGAGATAGACGAGCCGCTGTTCCTAGACATGTTCTGAAGATGATATTCCTACAGAAACTATTACGAATTAGCCACCCTACGAAAAACAGCGATAAGACTACTGTAGACATGTCCTACATTCGCTGTACGCCGAGACTGTGGGTTCAGCATCGGCAAAATGCCGATACGCGCCGACACGAAGTTGCGAAGTTGATAGTTATGAGCCTCTGCTCCCTCAACCCTTCACCTCAGGGATTCCTTTTGCCCCCTGATACTACGTACCATAATGTACTGCAACATATGATAATATACCAAAATATATTATAATACACCATAGATATAAGATAATATACTATCTAGAATATACTATAATAATCATTTTTAAAGGGGCTGGGGGGACCCTGCTGCTGCCAAGTTGTACTCTCCAGTGGAGAAGCCCTATGAGGAGGAGCTCCAGAGAACCCGGGCACGAGCAGCTTCGCGGAGAGTCTAGGGGAAGGGGTGGTAGTGATAGTAATGGTATAAAATAGTAAAGAGTAATACTACTAGAAGTAGTACTAATAGCAATATAGTATGGAAAACAGCAATACTAGCAGTAGTAGTAGTAGTTGTTGTTGTTGTTGTTGTAGTAGCAGCAGCAGCAGCACTAGTGGCATGAGCGTCGTACGTTGCTATGACCAGTACTGATACCAGTACTAAGACTCAAAATGATAATCGTCATTGTCATAGTTGATGCTCCGCTTAAGGCCCTGGCACGCAAAGAGAAGTTCGAGCGCGACAAGAAGCTTGCTGGTGGTTAGTACGGAGGAATGGATCCCGCATAGTTGTGTAAACCCTCAACCATCCCAAACCGTTAAACCCTAAAAGAAGTTCGATTCTGAGACCTGGTAGGAGTGCCCTATATGATCCCTTGTGGTGGTCCGGTACAAATCTTGTTTGTTAGGAAGTACGCCCAATAATCCTCTATTTCCTAAGGAAGGTGCTGCAGTATGTGCAGAGTCAGACTGGCTGCTCGGCATAATCCCTGGCCTCTGGTTAGCTTGGAATGAAGGTATGGACAAGAAAATGGATATTACTATTATGGGTTATATAGGGATTACTGTCAGGATCCATTTCTTCATTCCTAGCTAACCAAAGGCCAGGAATGAGAGTTTCCAAGCACTCGGGGGTCTCATTTAACGTGTCTTTAAAATTAGTTACCACAAACATTGCTTTGGGTGTATATAAACCCTAAACCAGAAGTTTTGGATTGGAACCTCCCAAGTTTGGACTCACTCAAAGGGACTGCGATAACAGGGACCTCAACGTATGAGCTTAATGACTATATTGTGCGACGTCTCGTGATTTGTTGCAGAGACTGATGATTGAGGAACTCTTGCACCACCAAATATGGCTTATCCCCCCATGCTGCTGTACTTCTAGCATTTTGAGAATCCAGTTTTTGAGGATTCCGAAACTAGCTCACACTCCAATGATGATCATCGTATTTTTGGGGATCCTCAGCCCTAAACCTTTTTGGGGATCCTAAGTGGTGAAAGCTTTCCTCCATCCCCCCGGAGCTTAGGCGTTCGAAAGAAGGAACCTCTTCGCGGTGAGCTGACCCAACTTTCTAGCGGCTTCTGGAAAACGACGCAGATTAGGCTAAGGGATGCAAAAGTGTGGGGCTTGGGGCTTAGGGCTTGGGGTTTAGGGCTTAGGATTTAGGGTTTAGGCCTGAGGGATTAGGGTTTAGGCCTTGGGGTTTAGGGTTTAAAGTTTAGGGCTTAGCATTTAGGGTTTAGGGTTTAGGCCTTGGGGTTTAGGGTTTAGGGCTTAGCGTTTAAGGCTTAGGGTTTAGGGCCTAGGGTTTAGGGTTTAGGGTTTAGGGCTTAGGCGGTTATTGTAAGGAAGGTAACTTAAGTGTCCATGAATGAATAGCATGGAATTGCCCGAAGTACACTGAGCTATGGTCTAAACTCCTACTATCCCCCTTAATAGCCCCTATCATACTCCCCTATATAATCCCCTGTATAACCAACCCCCTTTAAAGGGGTGTAGACTATAGCTCAAATGGCGACTCAGTTTCAATTCTCTAGCAGCAACCCAGACCCTAAGCCCTTGAACCTAAACCCTAAGCCCTAAACCCTAAGCCCGACGTCCCAAACCCTAAGGCCGGCAAGCCCCCCCAAAACAG